GCATGTTCCAGAGGCTGTTTCAGAGGGCTAAAAAGAGCATTACCGGCAGCAGCGGTACCACGCGGAATCATCACCATCACCAGCAGCAACAAGAGCTTTCTCTGGGCGCGGGTGCAGGGAAAAAGGGCCCTGCACGGACCATGTCGGACGGTGCTGTTGGCATAGAGGGCTGGCACAAGCAAAGCGCAGAGCCTTGGGAGAATCTGAGTGAGGGTGTGGATGGTGGTGGCGGGGAAAGGGGAAGGGGAAGGGGGGAATGGAGTCATGATGGCTGCGGGGTAGAGAGCATGCAAGGAGGCGGGCATCGGAGAGAGGTTTCGTGTGATAGTAGCGGAGGTGGCGGTAAGAGGAAGGAGGTGAGGGAGGGGAGCGAGGATGGCAGTGGGAGAGAAAGAGGGGAAGTGTTTGCGCATGCCAATATTGGAAGTGCTGCTAGTGCTGCTAGTGCTGCCAGTGCTGCTGTAGCTTCGGCTTACGGTGGGCATGGTGGTGGGATTCTGGGAAAGACAGGAAGACCCAAGGAGGTAGGAGTTTCAGCATCAGCGTCAGCATCAGCAGGAGGCTCAGCTGCAGCGGCAGCAGCAGCAGCAGCAGCTGCGGTGGGCGCAGGGAACTCTTCACACTGGTGGAATGGCCGCAGCAGCCCTCCCCCTCTGCCCATCCCATCCTCCTTCGACCCTGCCACCCTCCTCAAACCCACCAGCCCCATCCTCCGACCCACCAACGGAACCACCTCCCCCATCGGACCCCACAGCAGAGCACCGTTCTCCACCCCTGTCAGCCCCTTGGCCAGCCCCAGAACCGCCCCGAAAGCCTTCAACAGCCCCCGAAGGACCGGAAGCAGCGGCAGCCCCAGCAGCAACTGCGGATCCCCAAACACCCCAAACACCCCAGGCACTCCCAACACACCCAACACCTGGCGTGGTGGCAGCAGCGGTGGCAACAACGGTGCACCCCCCTCCTCCTCCTCCCCCAGCAAGATTGATCCGATCATCCGTGCGCTCAATTACGCGGCGGTTACGGGCCGGTTACCACCGGGCATGGCTCTAGACGCCATCTCAGAGGAGCGATCTAGCGCCCTCCTCTCCTCCGCCATCCCCTCCCCCTGCGCGTCTGTCCACAACTCCCTCCACCTCCTGCCCTCGCTGCCCTCCCCAGGTGCTCCGCATCCCTCGCATCCCACGCGTTCCGCTGTGCATAATAACAACCCGCTGCAGCGCCCGCCCTCGCCCTCGTCCGCCCGTGGCTCCCTTCGTTCCGAAGCAGGCGGGTCCGGGAAAAACGGCCTGCAGATGTCCCCCCTGCAGATGTCCCAGTTGCAGATGTCGGGGGAAATGCTCCCCCCTCCGCATGTAGCCATGCCTGGCGCTGCTGCCGATGCTGCTTCTGCAGCCGCTGGTGCTGATGCCACTGCTGGTAGTGCTGGTGATGCTGGTGCAGGTAATGCTGTTGTTACTGCTCCTCACTCCTCCAATCCAACCACTCCTTGTCTCTCCCCAACCAGGGGAATCGGGTCCCGTGGCACACCCCTCTCCCCGCTCTCCCCGCTCTCCCCCACTCGCCCCTCCCCTTCCTCCCCTATGAGCCCCATCTCTCCCGCCGCCACCTCCCCCAAGCCAATCCCCATCCGCCACGTCATTCAACGGCAGCAGCAGCAGCAGCAGCTCAAATCCCCCCGGGCGCAACAGCAGCAGCTGAAATCCCCACGCTCACAACAGCAGCAGCAGCACAGGAAGCCGGGGCAGCAGCTGCAGGTGAAGGCAGGTCAGAAGGCAGGGCAGGGCAGGCCGAGTCAGGTGCTGGTGCAGCGGCCAGGCAGCCTCAAGAGCCCCGCTGCTGCTGCCAAAACCACAGCAGTGAAACAGCAGGGGCAGGCGGGAGGGCAGAAGTCACAGGGTCAAGGGGCGCTGAAGTCCCAGGAGGAGAAAGAGAAGGGGAAGGAGGAGGGCGAGAGGGAGAGGGAGGCAGGGGCGCAGGAGCGGCTGCAGGCGCACATGGAGGCGCAGATGAAGAAGAGTCCGCACTACCTGCAGCAGCAGTTCTACCAGCAGCTCAAGCAACACCAGCTGCAGCAGCAGGCGCTCCGGAGGCAGAAGCGCGCTGCTGCTGCTGCTGCTGCGGCGGCGGCCGGTGGTGGCGCCGCTGGAAAGGGCAATGCAGCAGCAGTGCCAGCAGTGCCAGCAACGCCGTCAGCAGCAGCAGCAGCAGCAGCAGGGCAGGCCGTGGTGGGGTCAGCAGGAGCACGAGGAGGAGGGTCTCGGCCCACCACACCCACACGCAGCAGTGCTGCTGGCTCTGGTGCTGGCTCTGGTGCTACTGCTGGCTCTGCGGCTGTTGGCCAGTCTTTCTTTGTCGGCCCAAGCAAAGGTGCAGATGGGAAGATAGCTCGCCAGAGCTTCCAGCAGCAGCAGCAGCATGTGCAGAACAGCGCCGGCATTGCTATAAATGGTAGTGTTGCCGGAAATAGTAATCAGCACAATGGTCCGGTCACCAGCACCACCAGTGGCTCCTCCTTGGCTGGTTCATCCAGTGCTGCAGGCTCGGCGTCCCGAGCAGGCTCGGTAGCCTCCAGAGGAGGTTCGGCAGGTGCTGGTGGTGGGCTGCATGGCATGAGCAGCAGCATGGGAGGAGGCATGGGGATGGCAGGAATGGGAATGGCGGGATTCAACGCGGTTGGCAGCGGTGGAATGCATGGCACCAATGGCAGCCACGTCAGCCATGGCAGCACGAACATGAATGCAGCGACTGCAGCGGCCATTGCAGCAGTGGCTGGGAGCATTGTGAGCGGCACGGGCAGCTCTCAGAGCCGCTCCTGCAGCCGCACGTCCAGCATGCGATCCGAGGTGCGTTGGTGATGCTTTTGTTCTGTGCGCGGGGGAGGAAAGGGGGAGCACAGGTGCTTTGCCAGTAGTATGAGGGTGGTTGTATTGTTGGAAAAAGGGGGAGGGAGATCGGGGTGTGGTGCAGGGTGTGAACAGCAGCTTTGGTTATGGCATGTGGAGCATGTATGTCGATTACACCGAGTTTTCTTGACGTTTGTTTGCTCATCGTGTGTGTGTGTTGCAGCAAGACGTGAACTTGTCCAAGCTGAGGAACGGGAGCATTTCCTCCAACGAGTCTTGCCTCTCCATGTAAGCCTGTTTTTGAGCTGAGTTGCAAATGCAAAGTGGAAGTGTTTATGCCACTCCAAGAGTCTGCATGCTTGCCACACTGAATCACCTGATACATTAATTTCAGAGTTAAGGCTGGCCTGAGCAACCATGTGCTTACGTGGATATGCATGTGTGTGTATGTGCTTGCAGGTCAACACGCCAGCCGCGGGGGCGACCAATGAATGCAGCAGCAGGCAACCAAGTCGGCCCTCCCCTCAGCCAGAGCATGGGCACCAACGTTTACAACCACCATCAGCAGCCAAGCACTGGCAACGTCGGCGCATATGCACATCAACCGGCGAACATGGGCAACAACACGGGCAGTCATTTCCAGCAGCAGCACCAGGCCAATCGTAGCCCGTTCTCCACTCCACCCGCAAGCCCTCCTTTGAGCCCGACTCGAGGGTTTGGGATGATTGGGTGGACAGCTCAGGATCTTAATAAGATGGGAAGGCATTAGGTAGGTTGATATTTGTTCTTGATGTACAACCAAACCACCCAACGAGGTAAGGCTTGACATGCTTTCTTATCCACTGATTGCTCATTGATTGACATAAGGGGCGAGTGATCAACCTGGGGTGAATAGAGCGATCTTTCATTGCAGCTCGAAGTGTATCGATACACGTAACAGAATCACGGTCAATTCACTCTACCGCGTATTGTGAACACCTGCGCTTCGTCTTGGTGCTTCCACTCTCCGTTACTGTGGATAACCTTTGCCTGTTGAATCTGCGCGAAACCACTGCCACATCACAGCAATCCCCCACCACGAAACCAGGGACAACATCGAGGTTGGCTGGCAATGGGCTCTGCGATGGTGTGAGGTAGCTGGAAACACCTATGCGAGCAGAACTCTGTGGCGCATGAAATTAGATCGATTGGCGATTCGCTGTCGAAATTATCCGATCCCTTCGCATAATGCTGCTGCACTTGGCCGTTCGCGAAGGGCGAGTGGTCAGGTGGGAGAGTGTGGTAACCACAGGGTCAAACTAGGCCGTCATTCAGCCGATCTTGATTGGTAGGCCTATGATAATTAGGTGGTGAAGGAAACACTTGTAAGTTGACTTATCATAGGATGCTCGAGCATTAGTAGGTAGTGGCAGTTCAATAATTGGCTGCCTACTGTTGATCGTGACTAATTCGAATTCGTCGTTCCCGGATGCTCTGAAGTCAATCGCGGTTGGACAAGTGGCAATTCGGCCGTGTCGCGATCGCACAGTCGATTTCACCAGCCAGGTCGATAGTATTGGATTTCAAGGTCTCGACACATAAAGCGTGTCGACCAATCATGCTTCTCCGTTAACTAACTCCTTCACTCCGTCCATCGCAATGGACGGCTTCGGTTGACTCCTCACAAATCCTCCGTCACAATGGACGGCCGGATTTAACCGCCTGCAAGATCCAACGGCAGCGATGGATGGCCGGCCGAGCGTCAAGCTCCATTATCATCATCATCAAAACCGCCAGTCCCCCCGCCACCAGTCCCCCCACGTAGACCATCCGCTCCATAGCCCCAGTAAGACCCGCCCCAGACGCCACCTCCCCCGGATGTGCCTCTTCCTCTCCTCCGCGCTCTCCTCGAGCCGCCTTCTTCTCTTCCTCGCGGTCGGCGTCGCGTGTGTGTTTTTGTATTCCGTGCTCGACATAAGATTAGATGGCGGCGCGACGGGGAATGGGGAAGGAGGTTCAGGTTTTGGTTCGGCAGCTGGAGAATTCTCCATTAGGTTCGGCAGCAGCCGCGGAAGCAGTGGAAGCGGGGGGGGATCCGCGGGGGAATCGGCGGGAAAGGCGTTTTGGGGGGATTCGAGTCGAGCCGCGGCGGCGATTGACGATCTGCTCGCTGCGGCAATGCGCAAATCACGCTGGCGGGATTTGGGAGAATCCGCGCAGCAGCTGCTGTGGTCTTCCCCCGATCAGGGGATTAGGGGAAGCCTGATCGGTGGCGGAAAGGGCGGAGGCGGAGCGGGGAGCGCGGGGAGCAGCAGCGGGGGAGAGAGCCTGGCGGAACGGCGGAGGCTGATGCGGTTGGGGTATGATGGGGGAGAAGGGGTGGTAGCGGGGGAGGATGGCGGAAAACTGGACCAATTAGGAGCCGCCAGCGCGAGAACCTTGCCCGCGTCTCTGATTGGCTCCTGGAACCAGGGCTTACAGGGGAATGCTGACGTGGACCGTGCTCTAAACGAGCGGCTGGCTCGCGATGTGACTATAGTGATCAGCTCAAAGCACTCTTTCGGAACAGCAGCCGCGCAGCTGGACGCGATTCTCGCGACCACTCCCCCCTGCCCAGTGATCTACATGATCCCCGGCGCAATGGACGCGCGCACGCGCGCGCACGTCAGGCGCAGGCAAGCGGAGAGCGCACGGGGGATGTGGGGTGGCTGGGGCGGCGGAGGGGGAGGCGCAAGCGCGGGGGGGGCAGCGGGCGGCGGATTAGGGTTTGCAGATCCTGAACTGGTTTGGGGGGATGGTGGCGGAGGGAATAGGCGGAGGCGGAAGGGCAGGGGGAAGGGGCGGGGGAAGGGGGAGGAAGTACAGGGAGGGCGGAGAATACTCGTTAAGGAGATGGAGGACGAATATGCGAGCGGATACCTAATGCGAAACGCATCATCAGAGTTAATCCGCACTAAGTACGCGCTCTTTGTGTTCTCTGACGTGTTCCCGTATCGACCCAACTGGCTGCAGCATCTGTTTAGATTCGCTGAGAAGCATCCTGAGGGGGTGATTTTCCTGCCGTTCATTTGGGAGTGGGGGGGGGATGCGGGGGGCGGGGGGGCGAAGCTCAGGGCAGGCGGGCTCAGCAGAGGGGCGGGCGTAGGGGGAGGGGTGGGGGGAAGGGGGAGAGGGGCGGTGACGTATGGTGGTGCGACGAACCTGGGTGGTAGGCCCGGTGCCAGTGCTGCTGCAGGTGCGGCCACTAGTGCTGGCGCTGCTGGTGTGACTGCTGGTGTTGCTAGTAGCAGTAGTGGTGGTGCGGGGGGTGGGAGCATGGGCAGCGGATCAGTGGCGAAGCAAGAGGGCCTTAAAGCCCATGCAGCATTCGCCTCAGATATGCTATTTGACGACTACAGTAACGACGGGAAGCTCTACCCACAACCAATAGAAGACGTCCACGTGGCAGGCACCAGAGATCCGAGCCTGCTGGACCCTCGAGAATCCCCGGTAGGCGTGGAGGATCACTGCATGTTGGTTCGGCAGTCGTTTCTTTCCGAAGCTGTTCTGTTCGACCCTAGGGTCGGGTATACCCGGCAGGATCTGGATTTGGCGCTTACAACAAGGTATTTTAACTACAAGTCTTACTTAGTGCCGCAGTCTATAGTGGTATACCACCACCCGTCTTCCAGCGTGGGAGCGCGGGATTTGATCTACTTTGCGCGGCAGAGCGGCGCTGACGTGTGTTCAGCCAATCAGGTGTTTCTGCGGCACAAGTGGGGGGTTATAACGGGGCAGCAGTGTAGAGGGTTCGTGGACGCCACTTTAAGGGGCCACGTGTGGACAACTGAGGGCCAGGAGGGGGATGGCGAAGGGTGGGAGGTGAACGGTGCAGGTGTTGCAGGCAATGCTGCTGCTGGTGGTGGGGAGGAGGGTAGTGCAGCGAAAGGGGGAGTCGAGGCAGGTGGAAAGGGTACTAGCCTTGACAGCAGCAGCAGCAGCAGCAGCAGCAGCAGCAGTAGTGCCACACCCCCCGCCCGTTTTCTCATTCCCAAGGGCCAATCAGAGCAGGCTCAGCTCGTCCTCGCCTTCTTCTCATTGGTCGGTTTCAACCGTTTCCAGATGCGCAACCTGCCAGCCTGGCAACCCCTGCCGCCCGCGCCGCCAGCTGTCTGCCACGTCAGAGACAGGACGTTGTGCCAGATCTCGATCCCCTGGATGGCTGTTGCCGCCCGGTTTATTCCATTTGTGGACCGACTTGCAACGCTGCCAGATGCTTTGGCAGAAAATGCCAAAGCTGCCGCCGCCGCTGCTGCCGCTGGTGCTGGTGGTGCTGCTGCTGCTGGTGCCGGTGGGAAGAGAGTAGTTCTCTCTGGCAGTAGGAATGGTAGTACTGGTGGTGCTGCCGAGGCTGAGGTTCGGGGAGAGCCAGAGCTGTGGTTCGGCCGAGCCGAGGAGTACCCGAGCCTGCGGGTGAATCGGGTGGAGGATCTGTGGCGGGCGGCGTCGCTACGGGACGGACAACTGTTCATGATTCGGCACGGAGTGGTCAAACACGGCGAGAAGCATCCAGGAAGGCGAGCCCCGGAATTGCCCTTTTTAATGAGGCTATACCATCCGTTTCTGCTGGTGGAATTGGAAATGCGGGTGTTTTCTGGGACAGGTGGGGAGAGTGGTGGGGGGAAAGGGGAGGAGGATAGCAGGTGGTGGATTGGGGGGAGTGAGGGAGAGGTGGAGGAGGGGACAGGGCTGAGAGGGGGCCGGGACAGGAGCAAGCGGACAGGAGGGGCGGGGAAAACGGTTCTGGAGTCGAGTCTGTTTGATGGGCTGTCAGTTGTTGTGGAGGAAAAATGCTTCTTCCCACCATTGCCCTCTTCTTCTTCCTCTTCTGCTTCCGCTTCGGCTTCTAACCTCTCTTCCTCCTCCACTTCCTCCTCCTCCTCCTCCTCCTCCTCCTCCTCCTCCTCCTCCTCCTCCTCCTCCTCCTCCTCCTCCTCCTCCTCCTCCTCCTCCTCCTCCTCCTCCTCCTCCTCCTCCTCCTCCTCCTCCTCCTCGTCTTCTTCTACCAAAAAAGACACCACCGATGTAACCCAACCCCAAGGCACGCTACTAACGCCCTTCCCTCCCTCCTCCTCCCCCACCTCCACCACCGAACCTCCCTCCCGGCCCTGCGTCCGTTCGGCGCGGTACTTCCGAGCCTGGATGTACGTTCGGCACACCGATCCAGACCACACAGCTCTGCACATGTTTGATCGCTTCCGCCGCTCGCTCCGCCGCTCGCTCCCCTCCTCCCCCTCCGCGTGGATCAACACCACGCGCATGCACTGGCTTTCTCCAAGGTTACGGAACGTGGTAACGCGGTTACGCGTGGTGCGCTGTGTGCCGAGCATATCGGACGGGTGCGAGATGGGGTGGCGGGTCGGGGCCGTGCCGGACGCGTGGCGGCTGCTGCTGTGGGCGTGGCGGCCGCAGAGTGTGAGGACGGCTCAAGTCTTACTTATGAACGCCGATACTCCTGCTGTGGGTGAGTGATTGAGTGGGTGAGTGAGTGAGTGGGTGAGTGAGTGGGTGAGTGAGTGGGTGAGTGAGTGGGTGAGTGATTGAGTGAGCGAGTGGGTGAGTGAGTGAGTGGGTGAGTGAGTGGGTGGGTGAGTGGGTGAGTGAGTGGGTGAGTGATTGGGTGAGCGAGTGGGTGAGTGAGTGGGTGAGTGATTGGGTGAGCGAGTGGGTGAGTGAGTGGGTGGGTCTGGTGCTTGCCTGCTTCCTGCTAGACCCTGGGTTTGAATAGTGCGAGATGGGGTGGCGGGTCGGGGCCGTGCTTGACACGTGGCGGCTGCTGCTGTGGGCGTGGCGACCTCAGAGTGTGAGGACAGCGCAAGTGCTGCTCATGAATGCTGATACTCCCGCCGTGGGTGAGTGAGTGAGTGAGTGGGTGGGTCTGGTGCTCCTGATTGACCCTGGGTTTGAGTAGTGCGAGATGGGGTGGCGGGTGGTCGGGGCCGTGCCGGACGCGTGGTGGCTGCTGCTGTGGGCGTGGCGACCGCAAAGCGTGAGAACAGCTCAAGTGCTGCTCATGAACGCGGATACTCCTGCCGTGGGTGAGTGGGTGGGTGAGTGAGTGGGTGAGTGAGTGGGTAGTGAGTGGGTGAGTGAGTGGGTGAGTGAGTGGTGAGTGAGTGAGTGAGTGAGTGAGTGAGTGGGTGAGTGAGTGGGTGAGTGAGTGAGTGAGTGAGCGGGTGAGTTAGTGGGTGAGTGAGTGGGTGAGTGAGTGGGTGAGTGAGTGAGTGGGTGAGTGAGTGGGTGGGTGAGTGGGTGGGTGAGTGGGTGAGTGAGTGGGTGAGTGAGTGGGTGAGTGGGTGGGTGAGTGAGTGGATGAGTGAGTTGGTGAGTGAGAGTAAGTGAGTGAATGGGTGCTCTCACACCCATTCCTTGTCTCCTCATACACCCTCTTTCCTTCCTTTTGAGTTGACTCAAAAGTCACCTCGTCTCCTGTTCAAAAGTCTTTCTGCCCTTCCTCCCCTTCCTGCCCTTCCTGCCCTTCCTGCCCTTCCTTCCCTTCTTGCCCTTCTTTCCCTTCTTGCCCTTCCTTCCCTTCTTGCCCTTCGTTCCCTTCTTGCCCTTCTTTCCCTTCTTGCCCTTCTTGCCCTTCTTTCCCTTCCTGCCCTTCAGTTCCCTTCATGCCCTACCTTGCTTGGCCCTTCAGACGATTTCTCTGCTAAAGCCGCATGGACGTGAGTTGGACTCCACACCACAATTACCGTATAACTCCTGTTAGAACTTCATCAAATACAGATGTCGAGCACTTGACAGACATTTTACAGGTAATAGGGTGGCTTTTACCAGACCATCTGTACATCCTTTCAGTGTACCAGGATAATTTTAAGTGTAGTGCTCATTAATATGGTATTCTATTCCATAACTCCACATTCATCTTCAGGCATTATTCCTGCCTGTAGTCTCAGCGACGTTGACGTGCAAAGGTGAAACAATGGGCTATAAAGCAACAGCATTAAGAGATGTCAGCTGAAGTCTCATATTGCATGGAGTGCCATATGGCGAGCGCAATCATCCATGTAAGGAAAAAGAGGCCCACTATAACGAATCCAAGAATGTTGAGATCCATTCCTGCGATTGAGTCCTACGGTTGCCCCTCCCATCCTGCCTTTTCGATCACCAACTGCCACCATTGGTGGAGGGAGGGAGGGATGGCAGGTGACAAAAAGACAGGGGACTGAATGGGATGAGACGAGGAGTGGTGCGAGTAAAAAGTGCCGCCTCCCCTTCCCTTACATGCACATGATTAAGTCCCGTCGTTGCCCTTCCTATCCTGCCTTTTCAATCACCAGCTGCCACCTAGGATGAAAGGAGGGTGAGAGGAAGGAGGAAGGAGAGGAAATGGGGGTGGGGTGGAGCGGGGACGGGAGTGGGGATAGGAGCGAGGATGGGAGAAAGGATGGGAGAAAGGGATTGGGAAAGGACAGGGTGATGAGGAAAGGAGAGGAGCGAGGAGAGCAAGACATGGAGCAGCTAGAGATGACGAAGAGGAGAGACAGAAGAGGATGAAGGACAAAAGGAAGAGGCAAGGAGCAAGGAGGCGCAAGTGGGACCAATTGCCACCTCGTTACAATGGCACACAACACATTTTGAGTTGAGTCATTAGTCACCTCGTTACATTGGCACACGACACATTTTGAGTCGAGTCAAAAGTCACCTCGTTACAATGGCACACGGCATATTTCGAGTCAACACAAAAGAAAGAGGCAAGGAACAAGAAGGCGCAAGTGGGCCCAGTTGACATGGGAAGTAAAAGGGTGGGGTATGGTGAAAAATGAGTTTGGATGCGACAAATGGGACGAGGAATATGGGACGAGGAAAATGGGACGAGGAAAATGGGATGAAAAAATGGGACGAGGAAAACTAGATGACGATAATGGTATGAGATTTTGAGAATTCTAAAAAAACATGGGTAGCATGCACTGTCGAGGAGGGATGAGGATGACAAGGGACAGGTGGGCTGCGACCGTCACTATCGACCGTCAATAAGCTTCATGTTAGCAACCTGCTGTTTGAGGCTCAGAAAATAAAACATGGGTAGCATGCAGACAAAGTACCCCCCTCCTTGCCCCTAGCCAATACGCATGCAAGTGGTGCAAGAAGAGATTTATCCCCCATATAAGTATTGTCATATTGCAACGTGAGACGAGTTTTGAGGCGCCTCATAACCCTTCACACTCAAAGCAATCTCGAGCATAAGGAGGGATGAAGAGAAGGGGAGCTACGAGAATCCGTCTCATAGCTCGTCTTCACACTCAATGCAATCTCGTGCATAAGGCTGGCTTTTTGACTGAACCAGACGCTCTTGAGGAGGGATGAGGATGGCCTGTCCCCTTTATTAGCACCTCCACTAAGACGCATTGCTGGTGTGGTGTGTTCTAGCTGTATTGTCAGCTCAAGCTTACCTGCAGAAGCTCTATCCCCCCTATAAGCAGCGCCACCATAACGGACAAGCCGGTGATGACAATATTGAAGAAGAGCTTTCTCAGCGGGAAGGAGAAGGCCCAGCTGTAGGCAAAGTTCATGAACGATCCGTCTATGGTGTCTAATAGGGTCATGCCTGGAGGGGAGGGGGAGAGGTAATGCGTGGAAGGGGGGTAGTAGAGGTAATGCAGGGTTGAGAACATGCAGATTAAGGGAAGGAGAATATGTTTTCTGAGAATTCTCAAAAAACAAACGAGGTAATGCAGGGATAAGAACATGCAGATTAAGGGAAGGAGAAGGCCCAGCTATAGGCGAAGCTCATGAATGATCCGCCTATGGTGTCCAGTAGAGTCATGCCTGGGAGGGGGGGAGGAGGAGAGCAGGAGGGGAATAGGAGGATGGGGAGTGGTGGGGAGAGGTAATGCACGGTTCAGAACATGCCGGACCGAGAAGGCCCAGCTGTGGGCGAAGTTCGTGAATGAACGGTGGGAGGTGGGTAATGCAGAGGCGAATATTCGTAGGCAGCACCAGTTCTTGAAAATTCTCAAAAACCGGCAGCAAAGATGACGGGCAGGCAGAGAATGGCGAACCAAGGGAGGCCGGAGGAGGCAACGCCAGCAGCCATGAAGAGCAGAGCCACCTCCGTGGCTGTGGGATGAAGGCAGGGCAGTGGGATACAGGCAGGGCAGAGTGGGCGTACCAGCAGCAAAGATGACCGGAAGGCAGAGGATCGCAAACCAAGGGAGGCCAGAGGAAGCAGCGCCAGCAGCCATGAAGAGCAGAGCCACCTCCGTGGCCGTGTCAAAGCCGAGCCCAAAGAGGAACCCCAGCAGGTACATCTGGGGCGGGTGCTTTATCAGCGCTGCTACCCGTCCCAGGCAGCGGGTGAACAGCCCCCCTTGTAATGTCAGGTCCTCTAAGTCTGTTTCTCTGGCTGTGCCCTTGCGCATTGCACGGAACACCTGGAGGCGTGGAGAGCGGTGGAGCAGGGTGGAGAGTGGTGGAGAGGGGTGGAGTAGGGTGAAGAGGGGTTGAAGAAGTGCACTCCAACAGGGTGGTTTGCGACAAAAAGCGCCAGGAAGAGGGTTAAAAATAAGTTATGGTGAACTAATACTAGTTCTGAGACGTCTCAAAACTGGACATGTACCTTAACGAGGTGGATCAAAACGAGGAGATTGATGGCTCCTATAAGCAGAAGGAAGAGGCTCGAGACGAGCGCACCCACAAGGCCGAGAATCACATGCAGCTGTGACTCCTCCGATTCCACCTGGTGTGGGTGTAGATATGGTACACCCAATCACACTATACATGTACACACATACTGTACAAACGTACATATTCACACAAAAATTGCACATATACTTTTACAGAAATGAGGTCATATTGTTGGATTGAGATTCAGCTGGGTACCTCTCCCGCAGAAGCCCCACAGCAACGGCTAGCTCGGTTAGCCTGTTTTTGAGTCGACTCAAATCAAAAACAGCCCCACAGCAACGACGAGCTCGGTTAGCCTGTTTTTGAGTCGACTCAAATCAAAAACAGCCCCGCAGCAACGGCTAGCTCGGTTAGCCTGTTTTTGAGTCGACTCAAATCAAAAACAGCCCCGCAGCAACGGCTAGCTCGGTTAGCCTGTTTTTGAGTCGACTCAAATCAAAAACAGCCCCGCAGCAACGGCTAGCTCGGTTAGCCTGTTTTTGAGTCGACTCAAATCAAAAACAGCCCCGCAGCAACGGCTAGCTCGGTTAGCCTGTTTTTGAGTCGACTCAAATCAAAAACAGCCCCGCAGCAACGGCTAGCTCGGTTAGCCTGTTTTTGAGTCGACTCAAATCAAAAACAGCCCCGCAGCAACGGCTAGCTCGGTTAGCCTGTTTTTGAGTCGACTCAAATCAAAAACAGCCCCGCAGCAACGACTAGCTCGGTTAGCCTGTTTTTGAGTCGACTCAAATCAAAAACAGCCCCGCAGCAACGACTAGCTCGGTTAGCCTGTTTTTGAGTCGACTCAAATAAAAAACAGCCCCGCAGCAACGACTAGCTCGGTTAGCCTGTTTTTGAGTCGACTCAAATAAAAAACAGCCCCACAGCAACGACTAGCCAGTGAGGCAAGCCACATTTTGAGTCGACTCAAAAGGCAAGCCACATACATTTAATCACCTCTCCCGCAAAGGCCTTAAAGCCCACAGCAATAATGAGCGCAGCGAGGAAGACAACGGAGGAGTGGCCGAGGGCGAACCAGAACCCCGCCAGAAGGGCTTAAAGCCCGATCTTTACCTCTCCTGCAAAGGCCTTAAAGCCCACAGCGATGATGAGCGCAGCGAGGAAGACAACGGAGGAGTGGCCGAGGGCAAACCAGAACCCCACAGTGAGCGTCCTCCTCCCCTCCGCTAGGAACTTGCGCGTCGTGTTGTCAATCGCTGATTGGACGAGGCAGGGGACAGGCCGGGGGAGGGGGGGGGTGGCAAGGGGTGGAAAGGGGGAGAAAAGAGGGTTTAAAGAAGGGGAATGAGATGGAGTTTGAGGTGGAGTTGGGGAGGAGAAGGAGCGCGTAGGGTCCTTTCTCCCCGCTTGCCACCCCATTCGCCCTACAATTCACTGGTGGAGAGGAGGGCAACGGAGGAGTGGCCTAGGGGCTCATATGTCAAGTGGCCGAGGGCGGACCAGAACCCCACTGTGAGCGTCCTCCTCCCCTCCGCTAGGAACTTGCGCGTCGTGTTGTCAATCGCTGATTGGACGAGGCAGGGGAAGGAGGGAGGAGGGAAAGGGGGGGGATGCGGGTAGGGGGTGTGGGGTGAGGAAGGGGGTCGGGGAGGAGGGAGTAAGGCGAAGCCAGTGTCACAGTTCACCTCTCCCAACCCACTCACACCCCCCTACTCCCCCCACTCTCACAACCCCCCACATCCCTCTTCCCTCGTCCCTCTTTCCTCGTCCCTCTTCCGTCATCCCTCTTCCCCCGTCCCCCCCCTCGCCCCTTTCTCACTCTCCCACGTGTCCAATCCCAGAATTTCCCATCTCGGACAAGGGTTGCATTCGAATAAGATTGCTTCACATGCAGTGTGATGGGCGTCAAAAGCGGGCCGCATCCCCAGCATGTACGCCGTCACTCCCATACCCTTGGAGGCGGCTCAAAAGTTTCCCGCAATGAAGCTCATATGTACCTGCGATGTGGTCCGCGTCGAACGCGTGCCGCATCCCCAGCATGTACGCCGCCACTCCCAGACCCACGCCGAACGTGCCTCCCAAGTTACCTGCAAAGTCCTTCT